TGAAAAAAAATTCTGTAGCAAAATATGAGTATGACTTTAGCGTCCCTCTCTCAGCTTCTTGCTTTTAAGGCTTACTGAGAAATTTCAAGACGTCACTGTTGGTCTTTGTGTCATAACTCAGGATTTAATTTTTGGCCTGTTTCCTTTATAGTCTCTCTCTCTCCCACTCCACAATCCCCATTCAGGATTTTGTTTTCCCCTAGTGATTAACAGATCAGGGCCAGCTATAGCCATTTTGTACTGTCATTTGGTTTTAAGTGGGACCTTTCCCCTTCTTAGATTTTGCTGAGTGGATACGTGCACATGTGTAGTAGAACCCTCTGGAGGTGGGGGCGGGGATGTTCATTTGCTGAGGCACCCCCTCTAGTCACCATAATGGAGGTATGAAGACAGCAAGAGACCAATGAACAGAGGAGGGAGGGGAAGAACATCCACATATTTATCTCCAAGGATGGCTCAGACATCTGCAGTGGAAGTGCTTCTCTGAGCCTTCTCACCCAAGATGGCCACTCCTAGAGCCGCTGAAACCGGCTGAATTAGAAAACACCAGTTTTCTTGCTTCCACTACAAATAATGCTGGCTATAAGCCTTCAAACTTTCTAAATATTCCTTTATATTGAGTTCAGAGTTCTGGGACTGTCCCCTGAACCTGCTTCATTCAGCATTCTGAGCCACTGCTGGCAGAGGTCCTCACTGCACTTCTCCCCCATCTGCCATCAAGCCCTGCCTTCTGAAGTATTCTTTTTAAAAAGGAAGGGAAAAAAATTAGGTATGGAACTAACCAAGTTTTTAAATCCAAACACTAATATGATGACAGACTAGAGAATGGAGGGTCACATTGAATGACCCAGGATGATGCAGTCAATAAAATTCACATCTGTGAAAAGTCCTATAGAGCAAATAACCCAATTTCCTTAATAAATAATTTGCATGAAAAATAATTATAAATGGAAGGTGTCTTAGTTTCCTAGGGTGGCCATAACAAAATATGCCATTATAGGGGTCTTACAAGAACAGAAATTTATTTTCTCATAGGTTGTTGTTGTTGTTAGATGACAAGTCAGTACTGATGCATAGTGATCTTATGCAGAGCAAAACACTGCCGATCCTGGCCCAACCTCACAATTGTTGCCACACTTGAGCCCATTGATGCTGCCACTTTGCCAATCCATCTTGCTGGGGGTCTTCCTCTTTTCCTCTGACCCTCCACCTTACCAAACATGATATCCTTCTCCAGCGACTGGTCCCTTCTGACAATATGTCTGAAGTATGAGAATGAAGTTTGGCCATCCTGACCTCCAAGGAACACTCTGGCTATACTTCTTCCAACACAGATCTGTTGGTTCTTTTGGCAGCCCATGGCACTTTGAATATTCTCCTCCAACACCATAACTCAAAAGCATCAATTCTATGGTCTTCCTTTTTCACTGTCCATCTTTCACATGCATATGAGGTTATTGAAAATACCAAGGCTTGGGTTAGGCACACCTGTCTTCAAGCTGACATCTTTGCTCTTCAACACTTTAAAAAGGTCTTATGCAGCAGATTTGCCTAATGCAATACATCATTTGATTTCTTGACTGCTGTTTCCATGAGTGTTGATAGCTGATCCAAGAAAAATGAAGTCCTTGACAACTTTAATCTTTTCTCTGTTGATAAGAATGTTGTTTATTGGTCCAGTGGTCTCATAGGACAGAGGCTGGGATTTTGACTTCAGAGCTTCAGCGGGACTTGGCACTCTCTCTCTCCCTCTTTCTCTCTTTCTCTTGGCTCTAGGGGAAGATCCTTGTCTCTCTCTATTTTTACAACTTCAGCATTTCTTGGCATTCCTTGGCTGCTTATAGATACATCTGTACATGGTATCTGTCTTCCCCTTCGTATCTGTCTCTCTGTGCTTTTTCTTTCTCTCTTTTTATAAAATGCCATTCAGAATTGATTTGATTTAGGATTTACCCTACTCCAGTATGACCTCATTAACATGACAAATGATAACCCTTGTTTCCAAATGGGGTCATGTATACAGGCACATGAGTTAGGACTTCAATATATACACAGGGGAACACAATCTAATTTATAATAGAGAGGGATTCACTACATGGCTACAGTGGTCAAAACAACCTGGTATTGGTATAATGAAAGATCAATGGAACAAAACTGAGAACCCAGAAGTTAATCCATCCACATGCAGCCAACTGATCTTTGGCAAAGGGCCCAAATACATTAGGAAGGAGATAGTCTCTTCAACAGATGGTGCTAGTAAAATTGGAAATCAATATGCAAAAGAATGAAACAAGACCTTCATCTCACACCGTATACAAAAATTAACTCAACATAGATAAAAGACCTAAATGTAAATCCCAGAATTATAAAGGTCATCAAGAAAAAAAAAAATAGGGACAAATTTAAGGACTGTAATACAGGGCACATATAGACTATCAAGCATTTACAAAAATCACATAAACCAAAGAAGACAAAATAGATGACTGGAACATACTAAAAATTAGAAACTTATGTGCATCAAAAGATTTCACCAAAAGAATAAAAAGGGAGTCTACAGAATGGGAGAAACATTTTTGCAACAAAATATCAGATAAAGGACTAATCTCTAAAATCTGTAGGAAACTGTAACACCTCTATAACTGAGAGGGAGCCCAAAGATGAGAGAGACTTAAGAGACCTATCAGCTGGTCTCATGTGTGAATTCTTGAATTTTGAGTCAATCAAATGAAACAAAATAGATTTCTTTAATTACAGAATTTATCCAACTACATGTTTGATATTAAGGTAATATTATTATTTTTCATTAAGATCATGGTATTGTGGTTATGGTTGTTTTTTTTTAAAGTCCTTATCTTTTGAATAGATAGGATAATATAATGTCTTAAATTTGCTTCAGAACGATGGAAGAGGAGGGGAGGTGAATGGGAAGTATAGATGTGTGAGACAAGATGGCCCATAAGAAGATAACTATTGATAAAGTACTATAATTATCCATCCTGCCTGTTAGTATGTGTTCTAAAATTTTTTTGCAATAAAAGGTTAAAGGTTAAAAGAAACCACTTTGGCTGTCATGGAGAAGGTAGACCTAGGGGGCAAGATGTAGCAGTGAGGAAAAGCAGTTGTGATCAGGCTGGTAAAAGACGAGGGTGGCTGAGACTAGGTCCTCATGGCAGAAATGAGAAGTGCTTGATTTGAGGATTTAGGATTAAGATGGAGCCAACAAGACTTGATGGATTGGATGTGAGATGAGAAGGAAAGAGAAGAAAGATGAAAGGTGAATTCAGGTGTATATGCTAGTAAAAAGAACATGAGCCAGAGATAATTCTCCCCAGCCCCCTCCTCCCCAAATTAATGATTTATTTGCTTTCCACAGCATACCCAAGCAAACAAAGAGCTGATTCGCTGTGTGATTCTTTCTCGGATTATTTTTGGAGAAGAGCATTGGAAATGTGCACAGGCTTTGACCAACCTGGCTTATGGCTACCTGACACTGAGAGGTACTGGGTTTCCACAGTTGGGTGTGAGTGGGCCAACCTGTGCAGGATGAACTGAGCCCACACACAACCACAATGTGGGGATGATGCCCCCAACTGATACCTCCTCAGGAGAAGTGAAAGACAGTATGGGAGTCTCAGTAATAAAGATAATAACAATGATAATCTATTGAGTACTTAGTGTATACCAAGCTAGTCTCATTTAATCTTCACAATATGCCTTGAAGTAAGATGACTCAATTATTCTTGTTAGCTTGCAGATAAGGACATTGAGTCACAGAGAATTTCAGTACCTTTCCAATTACTGAAAATGGGCCAAGGAAGTTCTAGCCACAGGTCACCCAGGAAAGGACAGGCAGTTGTACAGCCAGCATCAGGGAGGCAGCACCAGTAATGGCACTGGTGTTTCAAGTTCAGAATGCAAATACCTGGAAAGTCTGGCTTAGAGAAAGTCAGGACCCAAATCCTAGAGGAATGGTGCTTCTAGAAGGGACTCTGGTACAGGGGAACAAGGTAAGACTCATTTTGCTAAAGATAAAACACAAGCATTACTTCATCAGTGTGGCAACTTTGCAGTCAGGGCTTGTGGTGCCTTGAATTGACTTGATATGGCTTTTCTAGCCAAAGTCTTCTTAATTACCAGTAAGTGATTAGGTGGGACCATGCAAATAAGGCATACAGCCTGAGACTGGTTAGTGTTACCCTCCAGCTAGGCTTAAAAGGAGTCATCTCAGAAGCAGAGATGGAAGATTCTAGGATCATCAAAAAGAAAGAGCATGAGTGGAGCATGAGACGTCAAGAGGTGATGGCAAGAGGCAGTAGCAGAGGTCATGGCTTGGAGAAACAGAACAGCTTCCAGCTCTAGGCCGATGGCCTGAGTAAAGCTGAGTGCCAACCGGCAGGAAACTGGCTTTCAGAATATACTAGTTGTCATTTTATATCACATGCTCTAGCATGGTAGAGGCCAAGGGATCACAACTAACAGGCTGAAAACAAGAGTGAGGCATGCCTGCAGTATGGCAGACAAGAGGCCTTCTTGACTGGAGGACTGCAGCACCCTGATTTGGTTTTGATCCTGAATTGTACCCTGTTCACTTCCCTACTAAACCTTATAATCTTGAGTATTGTCTACAAGTTCTGTGTGGCCAGTACAAAGGACTAGTGAACGCAGATGTGAAGCAGAGAGTGCTGTGGGAGGGATGGTGGGAGGGAGGAGGCATGTCTGACCTCCACTTCCTAGGAATCAGCCTTGGGTGGATTTTGAGTTTGATTTTCTTTCTGCCTTGTGAAGCCAAGGGGAGTGAGACATGGCTCCCACATGGTTTAAAGCATGGCTCAATGAATATTTGTCAACGGATGAAAGCTACTGAATTTGAAGCTGCTGCAGCTCGGTCCTGACCAGTATGAGGCACTTGTGTGTGGAACAACCATGTTGACATTCCTTGATCCGCAACTCAAAAGTGGGTCTGGAGCTGAGAAAGTTGTCAATTTGAGAGAAATTAGTATATAGGAGCAAGTTGAGGCCACAGGAGTGGATGAGATTGATGATAAGCAGTATGTGGAAAGAGAGTGGAAGAAGCAGGAGACAGAACAGTCTTAGGAATGGGGAGTAGAAGAGAAGCTGTCAAAGGAACTAGAAGATCAGGAGGGGGCATGTCCAGAGAGGAGGGAAGACTTCAAAAGGAAGTGCAGCATGGCTTCAAGTTTCAGATGGGAGGCAGTCGGATAAAGTAAATGCTGAAGAGAAGTGCATGAACTAGGCAACCATAGGTCATCAGCACTATGCTTGACATCAGTATGAAACTCTTTGAGTTTCATACTTGGACCCTAGGAGATGGCTGGAATTCAGGCTTGAGGGATGATGACTTGAACTGAATGGAAGAAGTGGAAGGATATGAGAAGTGTTTAGAGCTTTGTCAAAACCTAGGTGTGATGCTGTAGGATAAGCACTGGACTGCAAGATCAGTTTGAACCACAAGGTCGGCAGTTCAAACTCACCAGCTGCTCCTTGGAAACCCTATACTGGGTTACTACAAGTCAGAATTGACTGGATGGCACTCAGCAACAGAAACAACAAGATCCAGGCCAGTTGCTGCCTCCATTGGCTTGGTTGGATCACTATGACAGACCTACACAAGGAAGCTGCACTTCACCTTCTGAAATCAACCCTTTTCATCATCAGCCATGAACTGACTTTGAGTCTTACTGTTCTTATTTGATTACAGGCTGATCATGATACTTAAACTGCTCATATCAGAAAATATGGCAGGAAATCATCTTTTTATCCGTAATTCTTTTGTTACTGCTATGTGAATGGAGAGCCACCTTCAGGGTAGTATGTTGGAGGGGTGAAAGTTTTCCAGTAGAGAAAAGATTTTTGTTTGTTTGTAGATGGGAAAAACATTGTCTTGATTAGATGAAGTTCCCACATGGTGTAACTGCCCAGCCTTGAACCCAGACTTTCTGACACCCAGCCTGGAGTTTTTCTAGAATCAATTATGGCCATGACCTTCAATGAGAATAGCCCAGTGCCTTTTATTTTTTTCTCCCCTAAAGCTTTTATTGTGCATTGAGTGGTAGTTTACAGTTTTGTACTCATCCTATCACATTTCATATCAGTAAAATGATTACTGTCTCCTCCATGCATCTCCATTCAACAGTATTTGCTTCTATTCCCTCTGGGTTTTTTTTGTTTTTTTTGAAGTATACTAAAACATCCAGGAATATATAATCATTTAAACAACAAAAGGGCACATTCTGTAAGCTTGCTTCCTGGTTGCCTGCATATAGCCTTTTTCTTTTCATGAGTCTAGAGTCCTCAGCTGCTCCCTCTCTCCATTTCCTCATCTCTGCCTCCACTTTTGGTGTCACTGCTTCTCTGGATAGTGTCTCACATTCCACTCATGCTCTTCTCCCTTGATGGTCCTAGGGTCCTCTGTTCCTGGTTTGTAAGATTACTCCCTACTTTATGTTACAAAACTTCTGCCTTTACAGTAGTGACAATCGCAGTTAGTCATGATAACAATTATTCACTATTGAATCATAAGAATCTTATCCCCATCTCCTTTGACCAGACTCGTCTAGACAAGATGAAAATTATTCAGTGGGGATTCTACCTTCCCTGCACATGCTGAAACTAAACTCCCTTTTGAAAACTTGCAAGCCAGCCACTTCATGCCTTGATACAACCCCCATTTTAGGTAGTCAATGTCTAAGTTCCTTGTCCCTATGAATCCTGTGTACAGAGGGGATATGTTTGATCCTTAATGTGAAGCCTCCTTCCCTCTTGGTTGGTATTTTGAGCTACATCCATAAGTATAGGTCAAGTTAATCAAATTGTAGCAAATTGAACTTTTTTCCTTTATCAAATTTCTTTATCTTCCTCTATTCGAGTTCTGATTTTGATCTAGCCATGGTAACTAGGTCAAAATGGGTACTATCTGCAAGTTTGGGTGTTCTTGTGCATCTCCCCTCACTTCATATGAGCTGGATGCTTCACTCTCAGCTCTAGTCCTTTGTGGCTATGTCCTTGTCCATGGGCTTAGTAGTCCTCAGGTCTCACCACACTTTGGACCAACCAGTCCTTCCTCTTCTCTCTCTCTTATCTCCAGATCAACGTGAGTCTATGGAACGTGGTCAAACTCAGCCCATGTCTTCATTGCTGCACTGAAGAAGGGGCTCTTCCACTCACCAGTTGAACCAATGTGGTTGCCAGCAAGCTTACAAGCCTGCTTGTGTGTTCTCTTTGAGTTTCAGTCTTGGAAGGGGATTTTTCCTGAAGAGACTTGATTATTTGCCTTGATGGCTCCCTGGTAAACAACTTGCTTGTTCTTGTAGTAGCCAGTCAGACTGTTGTTTTGGTTTTAGATTTGCTGGTCTTTCTTTCAAGAAGTATTATCTGTTCCTCTAGATGCTCCAGGCTGGTCTGCATGTCCTTTTAAGTGGGAATGTCCCACCTCAGAAGGTACTGGATGGGGATCAGGATTCTACCTAAGGTCCTATATACTACAAAGGCTCTGTAAGTTATAGAACCCCTTTTAGGTATTCCAATCAGTTATAGGCTAAAGACGGGCTTACAAGTTTTCCGTAATCATGTTTCCTGATATTCCTTTCTATCCCACTCAAGTGTCTATTTTACAATAGTAGGCAAAAGAAACTAACATTCATAAAACAGTCATGCATCTTAACATTATTTATCATCTTTTACCTATTCAGACTGTGCCTTGATCCCTGTATCGCAGAACCCTGTTGTTCCAAGGTTGAGCATACATCATTAATTACCTGTATCCCATTTAGCCCATGTAAACCTGCCTAAGTGTTCCCCTATCTACCTTTTACTTCCATCCCCATCTCCCTTCGTGTGTATTGCCTTCCCCAACACCTGACACTATGCTGTGTCTATCCCCTAACCTGTGCTCTACCATTGCCTCCCTACCACCCCTGGTAGCCAACAAAGATTTTTTTTTGTTTTCTTTTCTTTTAGTATGGCTATCTTTTCTTAAGCTTCGTAATTTTTAATGTATCTGTGTTCTTCTTGGATTTTCATTTTCTTGGTATGTTGTGAAATACTAATTTTCTTTGAGGTTACCCT